ACCCACACCCAACTCATCGACCCCCATTTGGATTCCACTCGACCGATGGCCGGCGTTGAGTGCGATGTCATTCAACGATCTCCTCAGTGTGTGTGTGTGTGTGTGTGTGTGATCCATCTCTACTTTCTCTTACATATTTGTCTAGAGGTCGATTCTTAGTTAGTTCCCCATAGTTTCTTGTTTTGTTAATTCTTTCTACATGGCCAGTGAAGGTGACAGCTTGTCATAAAAGTCTGTAACTTGTTGGCGATCCTTTTTGGTCACACCCTGGCCAAGTGTCTGACCTGCACAGAAGGACTGGCTGACTGACTTTACATTTGTGTTGAAAAAAATCTGAATCTTGTTCTTTATGCTGGCTGAGTGGAGAAGAAGATTTCCAAACTTGCCTTTGCGATTCTGCCTGGCTGGCTGGCTTGCTTTGACATCTTGATCCGTTCCAACTGCTTGTGGTTGAAACCGTGCTTCCTGGCTAGAGATATCTGGTAGAAGTAACCCCTCTGTCGAATGTCTCCCGTTCATGGTGATCGGTGCTGGTTGTTGTTGCTGCTGTTGGTTGGTTGGTTATCTTCATCACCTCCATCTTCTCTTTGTTCACGTGAAGTCCTGTCTTCGCTGCCGGCCTTCTTTTTCAGTCAGTTTGTTAGTTTTCTCATGGAAGTCATCGAGTTTGTATGACATTAGACGTATATCATCTGCGAAATCCAGATCTTTTAGAGTCTTCTTCTTCTCTTTGATCCAGCTTATTCCCCCCCAACCCACAGTCTGATGCATAATCCAGTCAGCCACAATTGAGAAGATCATCGTGAGTGATAATAGGTAACCAGCCTTGCTGAGTTTACCGTTGTGGATCACCTGACACATGTTATTGTCATATAGCCAGCTATTGAATATTACTTACTTACTTCTTTACTTTACTTCGGCTATCTCCTACGGGAGGATGAGCCGGCTTCATGAACGTCTCGAATCATCGCTGCCCAGGCGCGGCGATCTGATGCAAGGTTTTGCGACAGGGTAATCCAATTCTTATTCCACAGACGGAGTCCGTAGACGGTCTGTAGCCCCAGGCACTCCATATCAGCCTTGACAGTACCAAGCCATGTTTTCAACTGTCCACCCCTGCGACATCGCTAAGATGGTAATGGCGAGAGATTTAGAACTGATTTGATCAGATCGTCATCTGGTCGGCGCAGAACATGGCCAAATTACCGAAGGCGACGTTGTTGGACCAGTACTGGAATTTGGTTGATGTTGTAGCAACGACGACGCACTTCTTCGTTGGATAGTTTGTCCTGCCAACGAACATGCAGAATGTACCTGAGGCACCAATGGTCTACTACCTCGAGTCTGCGTAAATCTTCTGTCTGTCTGTCTGGATTCAACATAGAACTTGGCACCGAAGTGCACCAGTTCGAGTTGCCACGTTCCAAATAGCACACAGAGGTAGACAAGAAGATGAGTGAAGAGAATCAATAGAGTTTGACAAGTATAAGAGTGAAACAGAATGGGTAATGGTAGAAAGGAATATGAAAGATTACAGAGACTGAATACATCTGCCTGGCCATTGACAACGATTTTGAGCCATGTCACCTATTGTCTCCAGCCATTGATTCCTAGAGTCCCGAGGGCCCCAACCCGGGAGTCTGCATCTCCCTACCTGACTCAGTTTAACTGTCAAGGATTTCATGGATTGATGCCATGTTTTTGTTTGGCCACCACTGGCTCTTTTCCAACCTGAACCTATATCAGCTAGCAATGCCCGTCGGGGGAGGCGGTGGTTAGGCATGCGCAGCACGTGACCTAGCCATCTTAGTCTATGTAACTTTATAGCCTCGTCGATTGATTTTCCCTCTTTGCCCAACACTCTACGCCTAACGTCAACATTACTTATCTTGTGAAACCACCTAACGTGAGACAGAGATCGCAGACATCTATGATCGAAAGCAGTCAACCTTTTCATGTCTTCAACGCGTATTGGCCATGTTTCAGAGCCATAGAGAAGGACGGAGCGAACTGATGAGCAGTACACACGTCCCTTGGTTGATAACCGGATGTCACGCCTACGCCAGAGATGGTGTAAGTCAGCGAAAGCAGCTCGAGCTTTTCGGATCCGTGCTGAGATTTCATCGCCAATCAGTCCGTTGGTGCTAATACAACTTCCCAAATAGGTGAAGTGGTCAACATGTTCTATCACTTCACTCCCTATCACTAAGTTAGGGGTTGACGTCGTCCAGTCCTGTAGCAGCATCTTACATTTTGCAGGGGCGAATCGCATGCCAAACATACGAAGATTGCTGCTCAAGGTGTTCAGAAGACTCTGCATTTTGTCAGCATCCTCCCCTAACAGGACTATGTCATCTGCATATTCTAAGTCCATAAGATTATTCCCTGGTAACAAGTCGATTCCTAAGTCATTACGTTCAGTTAAGGATACTTCCATCAGCATATCTATGATGAAGTTAAACAGAAATGGGGAAAGTGGACATCCCTGTCGGACACCACTGGTTGTTACCAATTCAGATGACAATTCCCCATAAGCCCTTACACGACTACGTGAGTTTGAATAGAGTGCCTTGATTAGTGCAATGTACTTTCTTGGCACTCCCTTCACAGTCAGACATTGCCATAGTACCTTTCGATCCACGGAGTCGAAGGCCGCCTTCAAGTCAAGAAATATGACAATTGTTGGACGCCGAAAAGTGTGTCTATGTTCTAGAATCTGTCGAAGAGTGAAGATATGATCTATGCACCCTCTACCTGGTCTAAAGCCTGCTTGATTTTCCCTTGTCTGTTCCTCCCGAGTTCTGCTTAGTCTATGCATGATTACTGAGCCTAGGATTTTAGAGACTATGTTCGTTAGGCTGATCCCCCTATGATTATCACACGAGGACTTGTTTCCCTTCTTGAATATCGGTATAATAAGTGACTTACCCCAGTCTGATGGTACTGTCTCTGATTCCCAGACTTTGCCTAGTACCTCAGTTAATCTACAAACTAGTATGTCACCCCCATATTTAAACACCTCCGGAATAATTCCGTCGGGTCCTGCCGCTTTGCCTCGTTTCAAATTACTGATAGCTTTTGTAACCTCACCTACAGACGGCGGACCAGTGTCTATATCCCATTCGGGTGTGTGGTGGATGGCGGGGAGGTTCAGTGTGGCTGTAGGCAAGTTAAATTGTTCCTCAAAGTGTTCTTTCCAGCGTTCAAGGCGTCTATCCTGAGAGCTAATTAAGGAGCCATTTTTCTCAGAAATAGTCTCACTTATGAATTGCCTTCTCCCACCCGATTCTGTGATGAGTCTAAAGAGTTGCCTAGTGTTGCCTATCGCCGATGCTTTTTCCATCTCTTTTGCCTTTGTCAGCCACCACTGTTCACGGTCCTTGCGGAGACTTTTAGTAAGTTTCCTTTTGTGCAGCTTTCGCTCCTCATTGAATTCGGAGCTCGCCGGAATAAGTCTTCTAGCATCTATCAGTTCGGATGAGGCAGTCGAAATCCAGTGGTTTTTACTCACCTTTGGATTTACCTTATTCACAGCTTTTACAGCTGTATCTATAGCTGACTGAATATTCTTCCAGGCTTCTCCAGGGTGAGCACAGCTGTCGAATTCAGATATGCGTTTAGCTAGTTCTTCCTCAAATAGGGCGTAAATCTTCCGCGCGAAGAGGCCAGGTTTCACAGCCATACAGGAGAACGGATCGTATAGAGGCTTGGTAGACCCAAATTTTTTCTTATTGGTTGATAAATTTTGTCTATCTCGATGTGTCTATTGATTGATGATTCACTGGAATGCCAAGCTTCCAAAAATTCTCTAGCATTCTTGTTATTTCCTTTGTCTAATATTTGAACGTTGTCCCAGTCGAATTGATGTCCGTGGTTGTCTGTGTGTAGTGAAATGAGGTAGTGTATATCATGTCTTTTGACGGCTAGCTTATGTTCGTGTATACGAAGACGAAGGGGACGTCCACTTTGGCCAATGTAGTGTTTTTCACAGTTGTTACAGTTTATTTTGTAGATGATGTTGGTTTTGTCTTCTTTTGCTGTTGAGTCTTTTGGTTGACATAGAATTGAGTGCAGCGACTTTTCTGGTTTGTGTACGACGTCAATTCCTAAAGGTTTGAAGAGTCTTGTAGTGATTTCTGAGACATCCTCTATATATGGTAAGGCGATTTTCTTTGTGTTTTCCTTAGTGGCTTTTGTTTTGGTAGGTTGGCTTGGGGGTATATGTCTCTTGATGGAATTCCGTGGATATCCATTCTTTTGGAAGCCGTCCATGAGATACTTTTCTTCAATTTTTCTTAAGGTGGGAGTGCTGCAGTGATATTTTTAATCAGAGGTGTCTGCGTCCTCTATGTCCTATGTTTTATTCAGACCAGTCTGACTAATATATTTGTTACGTACTGGTCGAGAATTTAATAGTCCTGACGCAAGAAAGACGGAAATCAGAAGACCACAAGGTTTGCGATGATACTTCTATTTTCCAAACACAAGGAGAATCAATCACACAAGAGTGTGAGAGCAAATATATGAATGTCCGAACAAGTGTGTGAGCGAATATTCTAAATGAACAAATCAATAGACAGTCTTAACATGATTGGCTAATTATAATGGAATATCGATCCATATATACATAGCAAATATACAGTCTGTCAAACAAACACACATATTATATGGATATATATCAACCTCATCGATTGATTTCCGCTCCCCACCCCATCCCCGCCTCCTATCTGGTACTCGATGCCCTACTTCAATATTGCTCACCTGATTATACAAAATAACACAGGAGATAGAATAGAAGCACCTATGATCAAAGATGATGTCTAGTCTGGCTTTTCATATCTTCCATTTATCAATGATTATGTCTCCCTCACAGCCATATAGAGGAGGACAAGATGAGCTACAGGAGCACACAAACTGGTGAATTATTATTCCTATTATTTGAATTTTGTTATAAATACAATCTTTGTTTCGTTTTCCTTTTTTCTATACTACTTAACCAGGTGTCAATAATTCAGTAGTATCGAAAGGTAAAAACAATAGTGATGCTGGCATTCATCAAACTGCATCAGATCCTAAGAATCAAAAACAAGTTAATCAAATATGTAAAGTAAGTTTATGTTTTGAGTTATCTTTTTTTTACCTTTATTGATTTCTCCAAAGAAAAATTGCTTTATCTAGTATTTTACTCCATATTGCGTCAAGTTTATTTGATACATAAAACACAATATTAAGGATACTACAGTATTAATTATATATATATATATATATATATATATATATATATATATATATATCTGATTTCTCACAAACTGGAAGATATGCAATTGAAAACCAACAAGTTGGACATAGAAGAAGCGTCCAGAGAAGACAGAAGTAGGTGATGAAGATTCCTGACCAACAGAAACATCAACAGCATCAACAAGAGATAAAAGTCAGCCAGCAAAAATGGGAGGAGTCTGCAAGAAGCAACCTCCTTTATCATCTACCTACCTACCTACCTGGAAATCATTGTCGTTTCAACTACAGGCGGCCACAGAACTGATGAGGATATCAAAGTGAGGATCATCAGGAAGGCAAGTCAAGCTTTCATTTCTCTCAAGTTTGTGTGGAGATCAACACTCAGCACGAAAAATAAGATCCGGATTTACAACTAAAATGTGAAATCAATGCTAATATACGGATCAGACACTTGGCGTGTCACGAATAGCACTTCGAACAAACTACACACCTTCATCATCATCAGATGTCTTCGCTCAATACCACTCAAGATCAGATGGTCGGCCACGAAAGATCAGCAACAGAGAGAGATTCCATATTAGTTTGTTTATTAGATATATCACATAGTGAAAGAGTATTATTTATCATTATTATTTAATTATTTATTTATTTAAGTATTATTATCCAGTAAATAGAACTGTTTCACTGTGTGATATATCTAATAAACAAACTAGTATGGAATTACTTACTACCACAGTGCCCAAGGTTTACATATATATTAACAGGGAGGGATCTCTGGGAACGAACCAACCCAGCAGGAACCGATTGTGCAAGAAATATGGAGGAAGAAACGGAGGTGAATTGGCCATACTCTAAGAAAATAAACCATCAAGTTACATCACATGGCAGGCTGTCTCGTGAGTGGAACTTGGACGGGAAGCGGCGAGTAGGTCGTCAGTGCAAGGGTAACATGGAGGAGGTGATGTGAAGAGGAGATGGAAGCATATGAGCAGACATGGAGCAAGGTGAAAAGGTTGTCAGAGAAGGGAACGCAATGGAGATGTGTGGCTGAAGCCCTATGCACTTCTAGGAACTAAAGGAAACAATAATAATGATAATAAGATTCAACTTGTAAGGAACGAAATAAAGGTATAATTATACAATACTACGATAGTTCAGTGGTGGAATACTCGCCAACCACTGACATAGGTTGGTTCCCAGCTGATACGCTCCTTAAACCTCCAGTAAGGCCTCCAAAGCCTCAGTATGGTCGGAGGTGGGTGCCTTGCGCTGCGGGTTGACCACCCTTCCGCACACCTCTTGAAATGCTCCCATATGACCGGCCGTCTTACAGAGCCTCTCTTGAGGAAGTCCTACTCACTGCCTTCACGTGGCGGAGGTGTTTTTCACCAAAGTGAGAGAGCAAAAGCGGATGCCCGGCGCTCTTCACTGGGTTGACTGTCCATCGGATGACAGTTTAGGGGAGATGGCTAAACCCTGATTCCAAACCTCCAACGACTGGCGTATGAAGCTCACCGGAAGACGTATGGACAAAAGGTTTATTGGATGCCTTGGATGTCTGGCCCCATTCAAAAAGGCGTATGAACCGGACTCTGGTCACCGGCTGCCAATGGATAGTGGACTCCCTACTCCACTCCTACTGCCTTGTAGGTCACACTTGGTTGTGTAAAGGCTAGAGCTGCACTCTCAAACAAAAGGCCGAGCGATGCTGGGGGCATCACTCGTACCTAATTCCCATGAAACTTCATGAACTCTCTTACAAACAATCAGATCGCCGCGCCTGGGCAGCGATGATTCGAGATGTTCATGAAGCCGGCTCATCCTCCCGTAGGAGATAGCCGAAGTAAAGTAAAGTAAGTAAAGACCGTTATAGAGGAAAGATTGGGTGTGAGGCTGGTAACCCCACTCCGTAAAAAGAAGCACCGATCGTACGTATTAAAGCTTCACAACTAAACCAGATGTTGACATAAAAATTCCAATGGGTGATATAAGTAGTACAAGGCAAACTTAGATTAGAAAGCACAAGTAGAGAATTCATAATGCGTCGAAAGGCCTTTAGATGAAATGAATGGGAGAATGTATAACTAATTCAAGATCGGACTTTTAAGAACTAGACGAATGGCAGCAGTAGCGTTTGTAAGTCTACAGGTATACAAAAGGCGAAATGGGTTTCACTAGATAGGCATGCAGAAAATTACAGTTTATGGGGAAAGGAGTAGATGTAGGTTCATATTAGTACCTAATGCAAAGAAGCTTCTAGATCAAGTTGAATGCTTTCAAAGAGTTGTAGATGACAATTCAAGATCAGATCGCTCAGAAACTGAAAGAAGAAAGCTACAGAAAGAGGACCCCTTCACAGCAGTCATGGATTAAAAGTTTGAAGCAACTGAAGACAAATCATGCTTCAACACCCCAAAGAAAAATATCAAGAGGCTGTATCATAGTTGCAACAAGCTGCACACTTTCATGAACATGTGCCTTTACTCAATATTGGACATCAGACGGTTAGAGAGGATAAGTAACACGTAACTTAATGTCTGACGAATGTATGTACAGAAAGAAATGGAGACAGATTTGACATGCCCTCGGGGGAGACCGTTAAAGTGACATTACATGCTGCCATGTAGTGTAGGCTGTCGAGTGAAACATCGAATAAGTAGCGATGCGTTAGATGGGGATCCGAGAGTGTCATGTGAAGCTTATATGCAGTCAGCCAAAAGAAATCCAGCAGAGTAGGGATGCAAGTAAGACGGGTTGCTGAAACTGTATTCCACTCGGCAACACACAGGAAAGAACAATGTGATGATAATACAGTGCATAGATTCCGCTATCCTTAATGTCTAATCATCACATACTTTTCTGGATTGCGTAGTCCGATTTCAGATTGTATAATCCGCTTTTTTAAACTTGTCATCTGACAGTTGATTCGAAAATCTAATTAACTTATAACACCTAATGTATAAACAGTTGTACGACAATGCTGCATGCCGCCAAGTAATCCACAACGGGAAACTTACGGAATCCTTCGAAGTGTGGATGGGAGTAAAGCAAGGCTGCCTACTATCACCAATGATTTTCCTGATTGCAGTAGATTGAATAATGCGACAAACTTGGGAAGCATCGTTTCAACTACACGCGGACGGAACTGACGAGGATATCAAAGCAAGGATCGGGAAAGCAAGACAAGCTTTCATTACTCTCAAGTCTGTGTGGAGATCAACACTCAGTATCAAAAATAAGGTCCGGATTTTCAACTCGAATGCGAAGTCAGTGCTACTAGCTATATGTATCAGACACTTGGCGCATCACGAAGAGCACTTCGAACAAACTACGCACCTTCATCAACAGATGTCTTCGCTCAATACTACTCAAGATCAGATGGCCGGCTAGAAAAGATCAGCAAAAGGGATCTCTGGGAGCAGGCAGGAAGAAATGGAGATGGATTGACCATACTCTGAGGAAACAATCAAGTGACATCACTAGACAAGCCGTCGAGTGGAACCCGAAAGGGAAGCAGCGAGTTGGTCGTCCATGGGTAACTTGGAGGAGGTCATGTGAAGAGGAGATGAAAGCATGTAAGCAGACTTGGAGCCAGGTGAAAACTCTAGCAATGGAGACGCGCGGCGGAATCCTTATGTTCCTTTACGAATTAAAGCAAATAATTACATAATACCTAATGGATATAACGCTATGCCGTTTGAAACGATTACTTCGAATTTCAAAGCGAAACACTAACACTCAATGAGGATGCAAGTACATCTATCTGAAGGAGTTCAAAATAAGACACAACGTGCTTTGTCGACTCCACTGCTAGTCACAGTCAGAGACTAAAGTTTAATGTTTCGTAGGTATGGTAATTATTGATGGCGTCCGATAAATCCTATTGCATGTGAGAGGGGTGGGGATGACTAGATGCACTAAATTCGATGTTATTGTATTCTCTGAGCTTTCTAATTTAACTGTGAAGCTTTCATCGTCTTCCTAGACAACATCTTTAAACCATACTTCAGTGTAAAGCGAATTTATCTAAATTCTTCATGAATATATGCAAGCAAATGTCCCTAAGTTGCTAATTTGCATTGGCACCGATCGTTTTATTATTTACTTGGAATTCGGATACAGAAATTACAGACTGAGTATGGAATCCAGTTAGAATTATGCAAATACAGGTGTCAATAGTAGGAAATTTACTAAGACTCTCAGTTCTCAGGAAAAGAGATTTTCCATACTTCAGACTGTGTGAGGGCTCAGTTATTCACTAAGCTGAGATGGAATGCAAAACCGGGGACTTTCCCACGACTGAAAGTCGAGTACCTTAAGTTGGTGGTAATCAGCTACATTCCCAGCAGAAAAGTAGGAAAACATCATATAGCCAGTTATGCAATACCAACCTTGTTTTACTCCGTCCCTGTTGTTTCCTTTTTTTTATCTTATTCACAAAACAGAAATTGAATCAAATCGAAAAACTTAAAGAAGAACAAGCCTCGGGGAAAGCGTTAGCATTCAATCAATTGGAAAAAATTGCCAGTGAACAAGAACTTCGTGATGAATTAGCTCGGTTGTGCTTATAAATGAAGTATTGGTGTTGATACAACATTGTGATTGATATTGTAAAATAGACTTTTTTTGTATGAATAACATAAGTTGAAGTATGACATTGTTTCTTCTTAATTTACGTATCATTTTTGAGTCGATAATTGATTGATCTTTCTCATTCATATCTTACGCTTTTAATGTGCCTTCCATAAATTTGATTGTTATGCGTGTCGTCCGAATACCACTAACCATCTGGCGAAGTTCAGGAGTGTGAACGCTCCACTGACCTTGAACGCATGCTAGTTGTTGGCGTGAAGGGGATAATCTCGTTGACTTAGAATATGCAGACGATATGGTCCTTCCAGGCGAAGATGCTGACAAAATGCAGAGTCTTCTAAACATCTTGAGCTGCAACCTACGGATGTTTGGCATGCGATTCGCTCCCGCCAAATGCAAGATGATGTTACAGGACTGGACTACAGCGACTCCTAGATTAGAAATAGGGAGTGAAGTGGTAGAGTACGTCGACCGCTTCACTTATTTGGGAAGTACCATCAACCAGCCCCAACTGGTTGATCTCTGACGAAATCTCAGCACGGATACAGGGGGCTCGTTTCACATTTGCCAGTTTACGCCGTCTCTGGCGTAGACAAGATATTCGACTGTCGACCAAAGGCCCGACCGAAAGCTGCTACCTTGACGTGGTGGTCGGGCTTGAACACCGCAATGACCTAATCAAGCTATACTGGCTGAGACTTATGTCTCTTGAGGTCCTACCATGCCAGGCAGGTTGTTTGGATAGCGGTTAAACAAAAAGCAGCTACCCAATCCAACATCATGATAAATACAAAATCACAAAATTTCATGCCGGATCGGCCGTGGCCCGGATTAACAACGACCGCGCTTCCTGCTGCCGTGTCACAGGGCAGGAGTGATAAGTATGCTACTGAGGCACACCAAACAAAAAGAACGAACAAAAACAGGCCGCGTGTGACCGGCCTCAAGCAGTTGTCCCCTGGGCTCTGCGGTCACGCAACCAACTTCCACGGTGTGGGCAGCCGGGAAGTAACAATCGCCCTCACAATCCGAAATGCACACGAAACCTCTCTAATCCTCACTCATCTTTGTCTTCATCTTCATCTCTATCATCTTGCCTTCCTTCCACTGATGCAACTCCTCGACTTGATAACTCTTCACTCTGCGTCCACTAAAAACGATGGAAGCCAAAAAACCACCACCGACAGCCTCTTAAAGCCGCGCCACCAATTTCATATAGGAGCTCTTAATGTTAGGACACTTTGCCAAATAGGACAACAAGCATCACTAGCCAAGACCCTGGCATCACGAGCCATTGATGTATGCTGTGTTTCAGAAACACGCATACAAGACCCAAGTGTGGTTATTCACCTAACCCCACCTGGCCAACAGGTTGAATCTGCAAAATTCACCTTGAGGGTGTCAGGAGATGCCACAGCTAGTTCACGAGGATTAGCTGGCGTAGGGATAGCTTTGAGTACTAGGGCAGAAAAGACATTGCTTGACTGGATCCCGGTAGATAGCCGAATGTGTGCTGTCCGCCTGAACGGATCAGTAAGAAGGAGGAAGGACTGCACTACTCGCCGATGCCTTTTCGTAATCTCCGCCTACGCCCCCACTGACTGCAGTTCAGATGAAACGAAGGATGAGTTCTACCAAAAGCTGTCTAGTTTGGTGCGAAAGGCTAAACGCTCAGACATAGTCGTTCTAGCTGGTGACTTTAACGCTCAAGTAGGGAAATTGTGTCAATCTGAGAAGGATGTCGGTGGCACCTATGGAGTTCCGTGCCAGCGAACCGACAACGGTGACCGTCTCCTACAGTTCTGCTCTGATAATCATTTGTTTCTTGTAAGCACTAACTTTAAACACAAGGAGACAACTGTTTGACTTGGAGACCCCCTTCATCAAACCAACGCTGGACACAAATAGACCACATAGCAATAAGCTATCGTTGGCGTGGGTCGGTAGGAGATTGTCGCTCCTTCTGGAACACGTGTGTAGATACCGACCATGCACTGGTCCGCGCTCGGGTGTGCTTACGACTGAACGGACGTAGGAAACAGCTGGCGGTAAAACCATCACGTCCCCAGCTCGATCAGGAAACTAAATCCGTATTTGAGGAAGAACTAGCTAAACACATATCTGTGTTCGACAGCTGTGCTCACCCTGAAGAAGCTTGGAAAAATATCCAGGCAGCCATAGATACAGCTGTAAAAGCTGTGAATAAGGTAAACCCAAAGGTGAGTAAAAACCACTGGATCTCCACCGCCTCATCCGAACTGATAGATGCTAGAAGACTTATTCCGGCGAGCTCCGAATTCAATGAGGAGCGAAAGCTGCACAAGAGGAAACTTACGAAAAGTCTCCGCAAGGACCGTGAACAGTGGTGGGCGACAAAAGCCAAAGAGATGGAGAAAGCTTTGAGGATAGGCAACACCAGGCAACTCTTTGGACTCATCAGGGAAACGGGTGGGAGAAGACAAATCATTAGTGAGACAATCTCGGAAAAAAATGGCACTATAATTAGCTCACAGGATAGACGACTGGATCGTTGGAAAGAGCATTATGAGGAGCAGTTTAATTTGCCCACAGCCACGCTCAACCTTCCGAGCATCCAACACCTCCCTGAATGGGATATAGACACAGGTCCTCCGTCCCTAACTGAGGTTACTAAAGCTGTCACCAATCTGAAACTAGGCAAAGCAGCGGGACCTGATGGAATGACTCCAGAGGTATTTAAGTACGGTGGAGACAGCTTACCATCTGCATTAACTGAGGTACTAGGCAGCGTCTGGGAATCAGAAGAAGTCCCATCGGGTTGGTGTAAGTCACTGATTATCCCCATATACAAGAAGGGAGACAAGTCTTCCTGTGATAATCACAGAGGGATTAGCTTGACTAATATAGTATCTAAAGTCTTAGGCTCAATAATCATGCGTAGACTGAGTGGTGCTCGGGAGAAACAAACACGAGAGAGCCAGGCAGGCTTTAGACCAGGAAGAGGGTGTATTGATCACCCTCCGACAGATTCTAGAACATAGGCATTCCTACCGGCGTCCAACAGTCATTATATTTCTTGACCTAAAGGCAGCATTCGACTCTGTCGATCGAGAAGTTCTCTGGAGATGCTTGGCTGTAAAGGGAATTCCGAGAAAATATATTGCACTGATTAAGGCACTCTACTCGTACTCATACAGCCAGGTGAGGGCTTACGGCGAGTTGTCATCCCTTTTCTATTCAACTTCATCATAGATGTGTTAATGGACTTAACCCCAAGTGACTTCAGCGACTCAGGGATTGACTTGCTACCACCAGGGAATAATCTCGTTGACTTAGAATATGTGGACGATATAGTCCTCCTAGGCGACTACTCTGACAAAATGCAGTCTTCTAAACACCTTGAGCCGCAATCTACGAATGTTTGGCATGCGATTCGCTCCCGCCAAATGCAAGATGATGGGGTAACAGGACTGGACTACATCGACGCCTAGTTTAAAAATAGGAAGTGAAGTGGTAGAATACGTTGACCGCTTCACTTATTTGGGAAGTACCATCAACCAGCCCAAACTGGTTGATCTCTGACGAAATCTCAGCACGAATACAAGGGGCTCATTTCGCATTTGTTGGTTTACGCCGACTCTGGCGTAGACGAGATGTTCGACTATCGACCAAAGGGCGGGTGTACTGCTCATCAGTCCGCTCCGTCCTCCTTTATGGCCATCGGTGAGACCTGGCCACTGAGAGTGGAAGACATGAAAAGACTAGCTGTCTTTGATCATAGGTGCCTGCGTTCTATTTCCCGTGTAAAGTGGCATAATAAGGTGAGCAATATGGAGATTAGGCATCGCTGGAGTGCTAGTTACGGAGGTAGGGGAAATCAATCGACGAGGTTGTGAAATGATATCGACTGAGATGGTTAGGACATGTGGTACATATGCGTCCTATTCATCGCCTTCCTCGACGAGCAATGTTAGCGGATGTAGGGTCAGGCTGGAAAAAAGCTAGCGGCGGTCAAACCAAAACATGGCTTCTCCAGTCAATGAAATCCACTACAGTTAGTTTAAGCCACATAGGAAGGTTTAGACTTCCTCACTGGTTAGGGTCTTCGGGACGGTAGGAACTAGTGGTTGGAAATAATTGGTGATATGGCTCAAAATCGTTCTCAATGGCTGGTGGAGATGCATCCACTGCTTGTGACCTATGACTTTCGACGAAACTACTTTGTTCTCCTTCGTTACTTGTATTTCTTTGTCTCATACCTGTCTACTGTCTCTATTATGGTTTTCTTCTCTTGCTTTGTGTGCTACATGGAGGAAGTGTGGCGACTTGAACAGCCGCATATATGTGCAAAGTTCTATGTCGAAAACGGACAGTTGTTGGTTAACGGCATCCTGTCATTATCATAGCCGAAATATCAACGCTAGTCACTAACTTGGGAGCAAATTTCATCCAGAACACGTTTTTAAGTAGTGTTTGGACAATGTGTTAATAGCTCGTTAGGTTTGTAGTTATCATTAGGGTTAGAATTACGTTTTGAATAAGGGTTATGATTAAGGTTAGGGTCAGGATTAGCATATGGTTACGATTAGGGATAGATATATAGTTGATATCACTTATTTTAGTTTCCTTGGTAAGTAGTCGTCTGTCCTCTTGCTGGAAACCATAACAATTCAACCGAAGGCTTTTTGGAAGACTTCATGCAGGATGAAAGAGATAACCGATTCACACTAACAGTTTATCTGTAGTCATCTCGGTGAGTACTCATGTACAGAAACTAGTCTAACTTAGCAAATGATACTCCTCGATATAACTAGGACTTATTTTTAAGCCTTATTTATCGCGTTTTAAGCATTTTTTGTCAATATGCATCATTTTTTGAGCAAACATTCCTCATTTTTATGATTGGTCAGCTGAAAGTCACTCGTGAGTTTGCACTCTTCAGACGCTGTTGTTGAACTTTGCCAACAATACTACTCACTCCGACGCTTGCGCGAAATTTGTAGCTCTATAAGCATCATCAGAAAAGATTTTGGCATCCGTGTAATATGTCACAATTCATGATGGCTGCCACACCAGTATGAACCCCTTTGGGCTATATTATTAATTGTATTAAGGACCCCAGCCACGCTGCCTTCATCTAGTTGTAGGGCGTGACTTCACATACTGAAACCAAATTTTTTAACTTTTTCGTCGACCTATTTCTGCGTCAGCCAAGACGAGCACAGGGTACCAGCGACCTTTTCTTCGATGTAGCTTTCCAACCTCGTCGGCTGATACCCCCCTATTGCCTAACACTGCGCCTAGCCTCGTCTTCACTCACCAACTTTAACGACACATTAGTTCCAGATGCTTAATCTGTCTGTCTTTTTTTGACATAGAACTTTGCACATATGTGCGGCTGTTCAAGTCGCCACACTCCCTCCATGTAGCACACAAAGCAAGAGAAGAAAAGCATAATAGAGACAGTAAGCAGAGGTGTGAGACAAAGAAAGAGTATTAACGATTTTGAGCCATATCACCAATTATTTCCAACCACTAGTTCCTACCGTCCCGAAGACCCTAACCAGTGAGGAAGTCTAAACCTTCCTATGTGGCTTAAACTAACTGTAGTGGATTTCATTGACTGGAGAAGCCATGTTTTGGTTTGACCGCCGCTAGCTTTTTTCCAGCCTGACCCTACATCCGCTAACATTGCTCGTCGAGGAAGGCGATGAATAGGACGCATATGTACCACATGTCCTAACCATCTCAGTCGATATCATTTCACAACCTCGTCGATTGATTTCCCCTACCTCCGTAACTAGCACTCCAGCGATGCCTAATCTCCATATTGCTCACCTTATTATACAACTTAACACAGGAGATAGAACGCAGGCACCTATGATCAAAGACAGCTAGCCAGCCAGACCTTTCATGTCTCCCACTCTCAATGTCCAGGTCTCGCTCACAGACATGAAGGAGGACGGAGTGGACTGATGAGCAGTCCACACGGCTTTTGGTCGATATCCAGCCGGATATCACGTCTATTAAGCCAGAGATCGCGTAAACTGGTGTATTCGAAACTAGCTCTCTGCATCCGTGCTGAGACTTCGTAAGTGAGCAACCCGTTGGCACTGGCTGATGGTACTTCGCAAATAAGTGAAGCAGTAAACGTGCTATACCACTTCACTGCCTGCTTCTAAACTAGGAGTCAGTGTACTCCAGTCGTGTAACATCATCTCTCATTTGGTGGGAGCGAATAGCATGCCAAACATTCGTAGACTACAGCTCAAGGTGTTCAGAAACAAGTCAATCTTTGAAGTCACTTAAGGTTTAGCCCATTGGTACATTCATGATGAAACTGAATAGAAATAGGGATATTAGGCATCCCTGACGGACACCACCAATCTGTCAGATGATCAATGGTTGAAAGCAACTAATCTCTTCGAGTGTTCTATTTTCAACAGTCATGTTTCACATCCATATAAACAGAACAAACTGTCCCGCAAAAATCACTACCTATGAAAGACAACGTAAATTGGTGAACTCCGTAATCGACTTTTATACCCGTGCGAAAATTTCATCAGGAAGTCAGCCCATCAAAAGCTGATGAAGATAAATGAAATAATCAACACACTCAATCCTTTCACTTCACGCTAGAAGTCGATGCTGACCAGTCAGTCAGCTCTGCATCGCCGTCTTATATTCCCACACACGGGCGACTCGAACACTACAAGTCAAAACCTGTCTAATACAGAGCTTGTGTAACTCACACTCGAAGCAGTGCCAACATTATCGTCCAGGATACATACCGATACTTAGTAGGGATTCCTGGTTACCTCAAATCTTGCTAGCTACTGCCGTTAAGTTAACTGATATCAATTCAACAACTGCTGGACGAAATCTTTGCATCTAAGGCACTATCTATCTCTATTGGCTTATACTCCTTAAAGCAATGTACGAATTAACTTTCGGACAGTGTTCAACTACTGACAGGCTTCATAGCTAGAATTTGCATGCGTTTATTTGAATATATATAAATGCAGAGATCGTCATGTCAACAGAAAAAAAGCATAGACTTTTAACTAGAAGAAGACATTACGAGAAGAAAAAATGTACAAATTTGGCATTAAAATGCAATATGTACAACAATAATTGAAGTTAGTATGGGCTTGAATAATAGCCTCCATTGTCTTTTGATCCGTATCCCCTGCTACGATCACGTGGATTTCTGTCTGCAAATCTCCGTGAGTAATCACCACCACCATCCATCTAACAAGAGAAACATTTAAAAAAAATTAAACGATTCTTTGAATGCAAAGTTGATAACGGAGAATATGAAGTTGCAAATGTAATTGCACATGTTCAGAAGTAGCAGTCTAACATCGAACATAGGCACTGACATATGAAAAAATGACCGAAAGCGGTACGAACTAAGTCAAGCATAAAAGCAGGTATAGGCATGCTATTTGGAAACTGAATATTGTGAGAATCACAGATTTTCAAAAACTTGATTGTGAATAATTCTTTGACATAAAGGACAATTTTAAATCGTTAACGAAAATTTTTTGCTAATAGATTTCAAAAGTCTCTTCGCCGTACATTGTTTCTAATGCTATAATAGGAATTACTAAATTATTAAATACTTATCGTGATGAAAAAACATCATCGACAAAATCTGCTTCTCTTTTGACCAAATGCGAAAAACCATCAGAATAATGTGTCAGTTACGTCAGCGTTTTATTTTGCAAGAGGTGATGAGACGTGCGTATGAAGTGTTAGACCCACTCTCACGTAGTGTGAGAGTCAGCGGAGTAATAAATGCCACGCAGCCTCCCCCATAAAATCAAGTTTATGCGCAGACGAGCATGGCTGAAAAAACACATTTCCGTAGTTAAGTCTAACTCCTGCGCAAATCACGACCCTCGTATATTAACAGAGAAACACATTACCTTTCGCTATGATTACTCAATATGACAAGTATCAAGATAATTGTTCTGTTACTTCATCATTAAACGTTGAGAAGGATGCTTTTTTAAATAGTGAAAGAAATATACTGCGTGAGTTCCCCTAGCAAACAATTCGGCTTTTGTTGTTCCACAGTAATTCAAGAAGTGCTCAAGTCAAACACTAATTTACATGATAAAACTATGAGGGAACCGTGATACTGGTTATTGTCAATAGGCATCACAGTGTCACCCCGCCAGTATGACTAAAAAACAGTACTCCTCAGCTTTCAGCACACCTCACGAAGTCCGTTTCCGCACGGAAGCAGGTTGGTATCAGATGCCAGCTAACCACTGTGAATTTAGGAGGGAAACGAATCCTCGTGTGGACCTTAGATTTCACCTATTTATCTGGATGACCATGAGCTCTGAGACCGCCAAGCTTCTTCATATTCTTACAAACTAAGGAGAACAATTGAATATACAGCGATCACAAGTATCCCGACACCTAATTAATTATTTCATAATATTATGCTTAAGATCTGCAACCCTTGTTATCAGTTTCTGTTGGTGGTTCGTTTCACTCTCGAGATAATTTAAGTTGGAGCTAGTGGACTTATACAGCCTCAAATCACATTCAAGCTTGATATTGATACAGTGAATACGCAGTGTACTTTTAATGACTAAGTTGAATACTACCATAATTACTTCACTATAAAAATGAATAGTTTTTATTTTAGGGGAAGAGGGGAGGGTTCAAATGGTTGTAAATTGTCTCTTGTAATACAACATTTCTAGTAGTACACATCCCCTTGAATTTACAAATACTTTTTGACTTTGACTACGTTTGCATATTTATGAAACGAATTTTTTTTGTACATAGAGAAATGTGAGAAACTGAAAAGATCTATGTGTACATCGTTTTAGTCAGATAAAGCGCCTATCATAGCTACGAGTTAGTTGAATTATATATAGGAAGTAATGTGGATAGGGAAAAAACGGGCATAATCTTGTGTGTAGATAGACAGGCAGGCAGGTTAAGGTTTTCGAAATACTAGAAGCTGAAATAGCGGTTGGACTCTCCACAATACTCCTCACTAATAACGTACACGGCTTTGTGGTTGCTTACACACATTCCTGTAAGTGTCCGCAACATTTCCTACTCCTCAGTAAGAAAAGATCTTCCACTTTCTATTGAAAGTCATCATAATAGTTATACCGAATAAACTACTATTCAACAGTAGTTGCTCTGCTTAATTTCCTTTACTTGCTTTCGACATTTTTTTAACCACCTTTAGATATCAGTGCTAATGCCTGCGAAGTCTTTTTTTCTCTTTCTATTTCAGAGACCTGAAGAATCAATCAACTTTCACGGTGCCGGCAGCAGGGAAGTAATAACCACGCACGCACACTTCCATAAGGCACACGAAGCCTTCTCATTAACCCTCATCATCCTACCCCCGCAGTACAGTCAGTCAGTCTTTTCTAGCCATTAGATCGGATAACACAAAACCAAGAGTTCATCATCTCTATATATCGACCACTACCGCTTCTTCTAGCAGATTTGCCATGGAGCTAGAATACTTCTTGAGGATGGATAGGGCGCTTACATTGAGGTAGCTATTTGACCGACTACAACTCATAAGCTGAGCACTATGTATAGGTGATTCAGCTGTTTAGTTAAGATAGCTCGTATTTTGCTGTTAACAGATTGGGGACACACTTTTGAATCACATACCAAATGCAATACTTGTAAGATAAGAGTACAGCTAACAAAATTATGCAGTTTTATGAAGATAACTTTTGCAGCCAAGGGAAAAAATTGTAAGAGTACCAATACATTCACACTACCAAAAAAGTCATCTTTATGTTATCTAAGTCTGACATTAAAAAACAGTTGAACGCCCTTACGATATAAGCATTTTACGAGCTGTTACATGATCTAAGTCATTATTAATTATTCTTTACGTTACGAGAGTAACGCAGAACCGTCCTTCACTGCACATAATAATCTGCCACTTTCAACTGACTCGACGACTGCCCTCAAACTTTCATTCCCACCTCATACGATCTTCATGTAAGCCGCAGATAGACAGTCACAACGCTTCATATTCGTGTCCCAGTCGAGGACCTGTTTGATGTCTAGACTGCGACAATCTTCATTTAAGCGCTTGACACGTAAGACTATGTAACAAGGCTCATAAAGGTAACTAGCACAGTACTCCATAGTGTTGAAACAGTTGCATAATGTTTTTACAGTTGATGCTATTGAAAGCTTTCCAAAGTCAATGGAGTTGAGATATGTAGGCGACACCCTTCCAAACTTTGTTGATTATGCTACAAAGCATGGTAATTTGACTAGTAGATGGATTGTTTTGCCTGAAAGCAATCAGTTCCCAGTGAAGCCTTCCGTTCAGTGAAATTTTGAACCGGTACTAGGTAATGAGCCTCAAGATATTGCCTGGAGTGGATAGCACCATGATTCTGCTCCAGTTGTTTTGTAGACCGAAGTTGCTTCCATTTGGCAGTTTCAAAAGGTAGCTTAACTTCTTGTCGGCAGATGACCATCCTTTTTCTCTCCCGAATAACACACACAGTAGTTGCGTGAGCATATTCGAGCAGATTTGATTGACTGCCGTTTCGCAAATTGGCATTATTTTGTAAGTCTTCATACCCACAGAACCTGAGTTAACATATTTCAATCGAGATAATCACTAGGTGTGCAACAGATAATTGCTATCTTCAAATACTTACCATCAGACATTTAGAAGTCTACAACGTGTTGTTCCCGCCACTAAAAAGGAGATAACACGGGGTAGTGAGTAATTTTTTTCTCCAAGAACTAAGTTATCTACATCGAGGTAGGTTTCACAGAATTCGAAAAAGTCTAACAATCAGAGGGAAGGCGTTTTATTCGAGGTTTGCGCTCAAGAACATTAGAGTTACCTACGCATACCCTGAGGCAGATAATGTGATGTGGCTGCACAAACCATCAATAATGGCCTCACACCTAATCCTGTTGATACACAGCTCAGTGACCTTCTGAAATTCATTACACCTACGTCGTAACACATCTCAAAATATCACTGGGGAAACACAAGCAGGGACTGATGTAGAAGCTGTAAATACTGGTATGACTAGATACGCAATAAGTCAACTATCTGACACTTCATGCTTTGACTTGTTAATGGACTTCAATAAACTTATCTACTGAAGACCTGTAACAGATGAGCAGGATACGAGATAAATCAAGTGACTGATTCGAAGCGCAGGACAGGTAGTCTGATTAGTTTCTTACGACAGTTGCTATTTTAAAAACAAAGAAGTAACGACAAAATCAACAAGTTGTACAGTGGGTAAGAACTGAATCATATGCATATTAACTTCATTTACCTTTGTTCCGTTGCGACCTTGGCCTCTGGAACGGTAATTTCCAAAACCGTTGCTTCTGTAGCCATTAGAATCATCCCTATCACTTCGCATGCCAAATTCTCTGGGACTGCGTCCGAATGGACGATTGACTGCGTAGTCACTCCCCTATACATACGTTCATTATTAGTTCATTGACTTACCTTAACCGGTTTTCTATCGGGACCAGTAACATCTGATGCTTCTACTCCTTTATCGCCTTCAACCACAAAAAATTCAACTTCCTCATTTTCTTGTAATGATCGCTGCATCTTTCCAGGGTTATTTCGCGAAATCGCTGTCTGATGAACAAAGATGTCAGTTGATGTGTCAGCCCGTGTTATGAAGCCGTAGCCAGCTTTAACGTTAAACCACTTAACTACTCCTCTAACTCTATCATCACTCATTCCACGAGGTGCATTACGACTCCTTCTATCGCTCATATCAGAATCAAGAAAATTCACTTAGAGAGTAACCGCCCACGGATTTCGAACTACGCGCCTCGATGGTTAGATGCGGCCCTTTTGTAGCGGTTTCCCAACATTCAAACAAATCGGTTTGCAGATAAAAAAAAACTTCCCAACTCTGAAAGTAACATCGGCTGAATATTAATTGTTTTTCTTTCGAAATTGCACATTGTTCTCTGCCAATTACTACTGTCATAAAATGGCCATGTATTCGTAAGAAAAAATTCCTAGTATTCTTACTACTGGCTAGTATAAAGATTTTGTTTGGAGTTAACAGCCTTCAAGTATATGGTAATCGGTCAATCAAAACTGGGCTTGGCGGCATAGTATATTCACACGAGACTCGCGAAGCAGCTCGAAATTCTACAGAAATAGGAAAACATATTATAGAATCCCTAGAGATCTATGGGAACAGATGGAATGGAAATGGACAATCCAAGTTCATAACAGAGGATTCAGTAATCGGCATTAGTTACTCAGAGAACATATATGGTGTGACCATCATAATGTTACGAACATTTTCGAAGACATAGTCTCCTAAAGGATACTGGCAGCAAGATTCAAGTTGTGGGAAAGATTCTGCGAACAGCGCAGACCAGATGAGGAGAAGCCTAGCTCCTTCAAACAGATGCAAGCAGTGATGGACTGGACGTAAAATGGCTGCGTCAACTATATAACGAGTGAAATGGATGCAATGTGAAGTGGGACCAATCAAGATGAGAAGAGAATTCTTTTAAATTCAGAGGATCTTCGCATAATGGGTGAGAACAGAAGAGAAATGGTGAGGTTTTGCGTGTTCAAGTACACATATATATTTTGCAAATTCTGCTTCCTCAGATGGATATACCAGACACAAGACACACCACGTCCACAGCTAGACAAAGCGGAGTTGGTGAATGCTTGACACAAAATTAAGAGAAGAAGATGTGTGAATTGACCAGTTTCTATAGCAAGGAAGCTTCAGGATCAAAGAGGCTTGGGATAGATCATAACTGAAGTTCAGTACTCGAGAACAGAGCGACGAAACTGCCAAAAGCTATCCCACCGCTGATATTAGAACAAAGGCAGAAACACTCTGAAGTGGTATATAGCTAGAAAGCAACAGCATGTGTAAAGAAACGTTTATTTGTAGCTTCGTAAACCATCAAAGTGAAATTATGAACATTTCATCTGTTGATTACCACCCCGAACTCTCGCAAAAGGCAATCCGAGAATTGTTCACTGTAATTCAGTCGCAACAATGGACAAGAACGTTACTTCGCGATCGTCCAGTTGTTAATACTGCATCACTGAGTGATATTCAGAATGAACCTATTTGATATGGAACGACATTCTATCATAGAGTCCAAGCTCTACACTTACATAAATTTAGTTGTGAACATCTCATCTCCTCGATGTCCGATGTTTTTATGCCGGAGAACATCTCCCTATATTCCATTGATCAATCCTATCAGTGAAATACGCCAATGTATCTTTGAACAAGGCTGGTGGAATCAACTTTGAAGGGAGCTGAATGTGATATGCAGCGGAGCCAGTTCACCAGACTTTTGAATTATGTTGGTGTAAGCCCAAAACTAAAATTCTAACTTCACTAATTTTGATTTTCAGGATTCCAGAAATAAAAGTTATCTGCTGGCCTGAAGAAAACTTCCCAAGTGAAAACTTTGTGCTGGGGTGACTTGTATCAACGGCAAATCTTACGCGGGATCACGATTATGCATACCAAAAGTGGAATTTTAAGCTATATCACTTTGTAGAAACTAGAAAATGCTACTGATGGAAGACTTCGCTCTCACCAGACTGAAAAAGCTGTTCAAATGCTGACAAAACTGCAAATATAGTCATCATCACAGAACAGATCCTAGAATTAGGGCCGTCTTATCTCAGCTTCACCAAATTCAAAATGTCATAAGGTAACATTGACTGAGGAGTTATATGGTAGCAGCATTAACGGCAGTAGTGCGGTCTCGACGAAATTTCTAAGCATCGATCTCCTATTTAATAACCTCTGGTCTTCAGAAAGAAAAAGATTCAGATTTATTGGTTGAAGGTAGAAGACTTGGAGCCTATGTTAATCATTTTCTAGTTATTTTCTGTGGTTGTCCAAACCATTCTTGAAAGAATCAGTGGAGGTTGCAGACACTACTTCTTCTGGTAGTCGCCTCCAAAAGTTATCACTCGAGCGAGAAACAGTACTCAAGAGTAATATGATTTCACATTGGATTTCAAACAATCCCGCTATCTCCTCAAAGGGGTTCCAACCCGATGAGAAGGAAAAGAGAGAATAGGTCAGGAGAGGAGTCATTAAATTCAATTCTAAACATTGAAAAAATAAAAATGTGTATTCTCATATCGACATAAAAATTTACATGAAAATGCATGCCATTTTTACAGGCACGATCAAGTATGTTATAATGTCAAATCTTAAATTGTCTACAAGTTAGTTATGTTTCAACAGTTAAATGTTTGATATATATGTATATAAATACACTCATTGTCTGAACCAGGCCGTATAGTTATTGAATTGTACAGTTGTCCTCCAGGTTGAGCGGGAAAATCGACTTCGTTTCGTTTTCATCCCGTGGTTGTAGGCATACGATAACCAATCAATATCGAGGTAAGTACAACGTTTACAAGGGATTGGAAGCTGTTTTAGAAAAGTTAAAGTGCTAAGGTGAAACATTAAAGTTTAATAAAATAAGCAAGTGCAATGTATCACTAATGAATACATTTATGTAGAAAACAGAATGGGGAAGTAATTAATCCTTAGGCCGACAACGTTCATTTGCAATGTATAATAAAACCAATATATTTTGTACTATCATGATGTCCACTTTTGGCTTTAATACAATTATCTTCAAGCCAGTTGTTTTTATTTCATGCCTTTTTTTCTATTTGGTGCACAGCCGTACCCTACAGAGAATAGGAATAGAATAAGTCGAACCAAATTCATAAAGAGCTATAAAATGTTAGGTTTAATGGGATATAATGAGGATCAAGTAAAGACGTTATTAGAAAATAAGTGAGACAAGATATTGTGAAGTGGTATTTCAAGATCCGACAATGGATAGGAAGTTAATTTATAAGATGCCCCATAAATCTGTGCAGAGCCCACCTGGTCACATCTCAACAATAGGCTGAGCGAATGGTATATATTTAAAGGCAGAAGCATGATCCGTTTAGGCGTTCATTATTATCTTTTTCAAGATAAAGATCTAAGCCCTCATAAAAATCAGAAAAATCTCGAGCCATCAAATTGTATATTGCTGTTCCTGCAGAATGGGGCGATTCACCTTGGTGACCACCACCATATCTACTGATCAGCTAGCGCCACCCTCCCTCCTTTTCTGATGTTAGGCTCTGTGATTAAATATCCTCTCTGCCTACCGTATGACAGGGAGTAAAGATTTAAACTGTATAGTCTTGACTCCTATGACCAGCTAGACATGCCGTGAGCAATAAGTCTTCGCTTCATTTAAAAAATTTATACAACCTGTGAGTAGAGTTTCCACAAGGAATGGCGGCCTGGGTGCAGTTTTCCAGTCTTGACCCCACCAGATATATATATATATGTAAGGAGGTGAACTTATCTCTGGTGATTCTAGTAAAGGCTCTGCGAATTGCCGATGAGGACCTGAAGCTACATGCAGCCACCGCGCGACAGTGTGCTGTAGTTTTTAAGTCGTGGCTAACTATGACACTTAAGTCCAAGTGAGTCTGAACTGATGGGAGTGTTATTCCCTCTAGTTCGTAGGAGCTCTTGCTTGCTTGTCCAATGCGCATGGTTGCATATTTTTCCACATTAATCTGGAGCATGCATTCTATGGACCACTCTGACAATTTGTTGAGGTCCTCTTACGACGTGGATGTATCACTTTCACCATTCAGCTCTCTCCAAATTTTTAAGTCATCTGCGTATAGGACCATAGAGGAGTCGGTGAGCAGAAATAACTCATTGATATACAAAATAAATAGGAGAGGTCCGAATACCGTGCCATGTGGCACTCCACTACGTACTGCTGCCCAAGAGGAGAGTTTCGAGTTGATCCTAACCCCTTGCCTTCTATCTATGAGGGATTCCCTGAGCCAGTTTAGTAATCTACCTCTGATACCAAGACTTTCCAACCGCATGAGTGGTCTTATGTGAGGTACTTTATCAAAGGCTTTGCTGAAGTCTATGAAAACGACGTCAACGGGTCTTCTGTTGTCCTTTGATTTAACCCAGCTTTCTCTTGCAGTGAGGAGATTTGACGGGCATGAAAGGTTCCTCCGGAAACCATGCTGTGCTCTAGATAACAAGCTGCTGTTTAACAGATATGCCATGATGCTTTTCTTGATGATTCTTTCCAGTGTCTTGATTAAACTGCCGGTGAGCCTGGTAATGCTGTAATTCAAAGGACTTTGTCTTCATCCTCCTTTGTGGATGGGGTTTACTTTGGCGTCTTTCCAGTTATGTGGTGACACTCCATTCAGAGGAGTTAGATTGAATATCTTGGTCAAAGCCCGGCTGTGTGAGCTGATAGCTCCTTGCTGTCGAAAGCGTCCAGAGATTCCTCACGAAACGCATAATAGGATTTGACCAACAAGTGGAATATGTTGACGGGTGTACACGTCTGAAATTAGGACCTCTGTGGTTAAGGAGAGTGAAGCGCAACTTATTTCCACTCTTCAAAGTCATTAGGAAACATTGCTACAATAACTCATCCATAACGTGGGAAAATATTAAATCATATCAGCTGCGAAACCACGACTACCTTGTCAAGGTGGCTACCCACAGAAAATCCATTAGGGCAAACTTTTTCGCCATAAAATACTGCACTCTTCGAAACCAACTACCACCTGAAATAAGATGTTGTGAAAACCCTGATGGGTTCAAGCGGAGCCTAGAAAGACACTTTAACATGTCCACCCTAGCTCGTTTAAAAGAGCACAACTGTTGGTAGAACGGAAATTGACGGCCAGTCCAGTCTTCAGTATAGTCACATACGTATATCTCGACTCTAATACTCACGCAGCGAACGTTAACTAATTTACTGATTTCTATTCTCTATAATTTTCACTAAGTTGTGTTGGTAAAATTGACCCTGGAAATAATTATAATAGCATCCGCACCTTTCAACACTTTACATATTTTGTCAATGGAGTTGAAGATTGAACGATCAATTCTTGGTTGTTTGCTCAAAATCAACTTCCTCGATTTTCGCGGAGGCATCAATACGAC